AATCTAGTACCTTTAGACTACGAAGATCGAAAATTCAGATGCGTTTCATCGTTCCGGAACTAAGAAATATGATTTTCAGAAGTTTATCATTAGCATGGAATTTTAGTTATCTCTGTACATCTTAACATCGGTATGAATTTTTCAATAATGTTTCCTAAGTAATTCTCATGATGCTGACAAGGAGAATTTGTTTAACAATCAAAAGGTTCTTTAATTGGTAATCATCTCCTTTTCCTCCCAACTTAAATGTGTGATTCGGAGGTGATATTTTAACGAGAAGTTAGATGTTAGTCACTATTACGGGTTAAACGGTTCGCTTGGGAACCTTTTGGTATGGATATCTCGAAGTAAACTTTCAGTGCTACACTGTGGTTTCAGTTACCTTTGGAGACTAAGAAAGTGAAGTTTTGGAAATGTTAAGTAAATTTACTTTCTTGTATCCTGTTCCGATTATTATTTCCATCTGCCTTCAGCCTTGGCAAATGATTCATCTGTTTGCCATTGACAAATCCGATATCTCGTCGACCTTGTCCAAGAACTGTTAATAATTTCCTTTCACGTTGCGAGTTACATGAGCTGACCGAGAAGCAACTGTATCAAAGCTTCCAGAGTCGTAATTTCAGGAGTACCGTTAACCACCCCTATGCGGAAAAACAAGGACGAAAACAGAGGTCTCTCACCAGGTGGAAGTGGTTTTGTTCGTTACAAATACTGGCCAACTATATCTTGACATAAATTACAAGGAAAGTGAATGACTTACTGGAGCATGCATATTCATTGCAAGGAACATTCTTCGATGCAGGTCCCAGTCTGGTGCAGTCACTCCCGCCATTGATTGGTGGGGGATTGGTACAGGTCCTCGTAAGAGTCTTTATTCCGCCTCCGCACGTCACACTGCACTCAGATTCTGACCAATTAGAGTAGCCCCCATCTTTTGGAACTTAATTTGAATAAAAACAAAAACAATAAAATCGCCTCCCTTCCACAGCCATGCATCTCATAAAGTCTACTGATAAAAAAAAACACTGGAGTTTTCAATATTTGTTTTGAGAGATTAGCCTCTCCGTGATGAGTTCGGCCAAGAAAGTTACTCGGAAAATGGTTGCAAGCCAGGCCTTTTTTATTTTTTGTCATGTCAAATAATCCTTTCCCTTCAAAGGCTGATTTCTCTACAATAAATGGTTTGCACTTCAACCTCTAAGGACTGATCCTACGTTAGAGAGGAGAGGTAATACCCATAACACCAAGAAGATGGCGGAGCTTACTTGAAGATGGCGATGAGCATGTGCTTTCCAGGTGTAAAAAAAAAAAAGATAGAATATAATCTGCCGCCTTAATCATAAGAAAGTCTAAAACGAAGTCAGTTCAGTGGCCTCGAAATCTCATCCCTTCACAAGTCATTTCCCAGGTTAGGGACTCGTTCGATTCTTACTTAAGCATGTAATATGCGCAATACAAAGCTGATGACCTTAACTTACTGCATATTCCATCGATCAACGTGTGAAGTCCCTCAATCAATTCCTGATAACTATCGTGTATTATAATCTCTTCTTTGCTACCAGCCGCTTTCTTCATCTTCTCTTTTGACATACCTTGCCCAATTCCAACCACAATGATTCTCACACCTTTTTTCTTATCGAGAAAAAAAATGAGGAAAGAGGAGAAACAACACAGCCTATTACGATTTATAAAAAGGCTGAACTAACAAGAGCAAATTAAATTGAAATTTCTGCAAACAGACTATATTTTGGAGCGCT